TCGTCTAGCGGGTTTTCCGTCTTGCGAGGCATTCGTCTTGCGGGGCACCACTGTAGATGGAACATACATTCCAACTTTTGCCACATAGTTTGGAAGTAAACGGTGTCCAAGTGTGGTAGACTACTTCTGATCTTTGCTCTCACAGTAAGTTTCAAGTACAGTAGGAAAAATTCACATCCTCAGGTGGCCACAACTCTTTCCACAAATATATATAAAACCAGTCAAAATATAGTTGTTGAGGACAGACAACCAACAGCTGTAACAGCAATCAGGAAAAATGGCCTCAACCAACATGAAAACAATTATTGGGAGCAAAGAGAGATTTTTAATAAAAAATTGTAACTATTTCACTAGCCCTCACCTGTTTTTAAGAGGAACCTTAAAAGGATCCTGTCCAAATATATGCATGGTCTTTTTAAAAAAGGTAGAATCATAGAATCATAGAGTTGGAAGAGACCACAAGGGCCATCGAGTCCAACCCCCTGCCAAGCAGGAAACACCACCAGAGCACTCCTGACATATGGTTGTCAAGCCTCTGCTTAAAGACCTCCAAAGAAGGAGACTCCACCACACTCCTTGGCAGCAAATTCCACTGGTAACAGGATGTGAACACACCTTCCTGCCAGTTGACAGGCCATGTAGATAGAATCTGATGTATGGTTTTAGGCTGCTGCTTTGCTTCCAGATGTGCACTTTGCTGAGGTTGCAGATTCAGATGCACAGATTATTTGAGCTTTATATGCCGATAACCCAGCAAGGGGATCTGCATGGGTGGGGCTCTTGTTCTTTTGGGACAGAAGTGTTTCCTTTGTAAGGTTTTGGTACACTCAACAAGTGCCCAATGGCTTCTCCATGGATGCTGGAGAACGGCCATACAGATCAAATAAAATAACAATGATCTGCAGATCCTTATTTTTGTTATAGAAATGTGGATTATTCAAGAATGCAGTACAAATCACATTATAGGTATACATTTTTACAGGAAAAATAATCTGAACAGCAATGCCTATCATCGATCTATCAGCTCTGTCATAGGTCATTATTGGAAGGAGAACACTTATTTTTAAAGGCAAGATGGACAGCATTTAGAAATGTATTTGTTTGCCTAACCACTCCCCTTTGAAGGAAGCAGGAGTTCCAAAGATAAGTATTGCTAAAAAAATAAGTTTTTTTTGTGTTAAACAAAGCCATAAAGCTGGGAGGCAAAACAACATCAGATGCCTTCCCATTTCAAAGTGGTCCTAGTACAAATGTCAGTAGTGAACACATCCAAAATAAATACAATATAGTGGTTCCAAACATTTCAAAGCATACACCTGAGATTATGCATCATAAAATGCACCTCTATGCAAGAGCCAAGGGGATTGTCCTTGTATAATGCTATGGTACAGTATCTATCTAGTATAATATATGAGGGATTTTTCTTGCAATCATTCATGTTTTTGCCAGTTCCTCCAAAAGCACACTACCTGCATTTTACTATAGTGTCAAAAGTAAAACATGTTAAATTATTCCACCCTAATGCGTACCATGTATGGAAACTCCAAATATGGATTGAAAATGTTTAGTCAAAGTAGTTTCTTCCCCCTCATATTCAGAAAGTCTAGGTACTATGTGTGCAATTGTTCAGCTACAAGGAAATCCTTTGGATCATCAAAGGAAACTTCTAATACTTAAACAGCCATTCCTTAAGTATCCCCCGCTTATACGAAGAAGTCATTCTGCAAATTGTCCAGGCAAATTTTTCTATTGCTGAATTGATCTTACCATTAGTACTCTTATAATCTGTTTCCAAATATTTAATCCGAGACCCATCTTCCCATAGCCCAGAACCCATGGTATCATTTCCTATCCATGAGGCACAGGATGCTCAATTGATTTCACACATATTTTTTGATATCCTTTAAATAATCTTAAAATTTTCAATATACTCCTCATGCGTCCTGCTCCTATGCATGCTTACATGCAAGTAAGTCTCACAGTTTAATGGAGCTTACTCCCAATTAAGTATGCACTGAATCCAGCCTTAGCCTTCTTTTGTTTTGGTTAAACATGCCCAGTTCCTTCAGCCTCCCTCTACAGGATTTGTTTCCCAGACCCTGTGACCATCCTTGTAAGCCTTGTTTCCGTTATGTCAGCATGATCTGCATTCACTGTGTTGAACACAGCATTCCACCCAAGTTCTTTCCAGTGCCAAAATTTTTTGATACTTCTACTTTACAAGTCTTTTGCTAAGAATTCAATTATATATTATAGGGGAAATGGAACTGCAGCTGTACCTGCAAATGGGGACCCCCATATTAAATTCTCTCCTGTAATGTGTAATATTATTCATCATGTGAATCACCACATGGTGAATTTCCCCACTGCTCCACATTATTGGCTGCCACTAGTGTGGGCACCTTCAAATGGCAGTGGCCATTTCTGCCACAATACCACAATGTTGACTTATGTTTATACTGGTACCCTTGGAAACTTTTAGATTTATCTTGGACATACTCCAGCTGCCCAGTTAAGATACACCTAGCCTTCTTATATCTTGTGTTTCCCCTTTGCAACATGGGCACTTGTTCACATACTTCTCTTTTTTACTTACTGTCTGACACTTCAGCATGAAACCATTTCCCATATTTAGCTAATCCATTAAAGCAGGAATGGGCAACCTCTGTATTCTTTAGGTCACTCCAGACTGTGGTCCAGACTATCTCAACAGCCTTGCAGGCACTCAGGGTCAGCACCATCTAACAGCAAGGATTCCACATTTGCAGATTTAATACACATTTGTGTATAACTGAGGCATTATTGTACAAGACCCAAATAGGTGTAAACATCAGAAGTGTGGAACACCACTGTATCTCACAACTTTTGAAAAAAATATGTTTTCCTCATGAGGGAATGTATGGACAAAATGTCTATCATACCTTGCACAAAAGTTGGTAGGACTATTGGGATCCAGACAGTATTGCTTTTTGGTCCTGGGTATCCCTATGTTAATCTATATCAAGTCCTCCCAGCCAGTTCCTCACATCTATACTATATAGTATGCTTGTGAAAAAAAGGTACAAAAGTAATTGGCTCCAGGGTACAACCTTCAACGTAGCTATTTCCTTTTCTAAGCCCTTTCTTTACAAGCAATAGTTCTCCCAGTCAGGTGTCTCTCCTCTCCCGCACCCCCATTTATGCAGAACAAAAGTCCTTGCAGTTGGGGAAAAGCACATATTTCCCCTCCTCAGGCTCTTTTTCAAAGCAATAATATATTATTCTAGTTGCCCACATATTATGTGAATTCACTGATCCAGTGTGTTCGACAATGCCATTGTTGTCAGTCTATCATCTCAGGATGTTTGCACTTGAAATAATGTCTTAAGGAATATGGTACATATTCATTTACCCAGCACACTTCAGAAGATGAGGTAGGGAAAAAAAGGTTTGGGGGCAAATAGGATCTTAGATAAATAGTGCTATTTTTGCAGGGGAGAGTGGGAAAGGCAAGAGAGTAAAAGTTGGCAATCAGGTGAAGACCCCAAACCAAGCTTTCTGTTCTGGGACGTTTACAGGTCAATAGCTGATGAATGCATATTCAGGAAAAATTAATAGCTGAGAAACTGATGATTAGTTTCTAATCATAACACATGTTTAGTAAGAAGATGAATGCTGTCAAAACTCTTGCAATCGGGAGTGAGGTCTGAGAGAAATCCTGGTTGCAAAAGAAAAAGCTTTGATACAGTTGAGTGTGTGTGGAATCAGCGAAGCCACCCAAAAAGATGAAACCAAGGGTGTGGTTTAAAAGTGGTTGAAGGCAATGACGTG